CACAGACCCAGCTGCAGCACACTGACTGCCCCTGCAACTCCCACAGCTGCACCACCGACCTAGGAAACAAGGATTCGTCAACACTGCCCTGTGCACCCTCCTACGAGCTTTATGGAGTTGACTCTTGGTGCACGGCATGGCTTTACCAAAGCCAAACAGGATGTAGGACAGCCCCATTCGTGGTGATGTAAACGCTTGGGGCCAATCAGATCTCCAACAACCCACGATGTTGTACTTCACAGGTCGGCCCACTTGGACTTCCTGGTCCCGGCCAGACACCAGCAGGAAAGCACAGATCTGGCTGAGGAAGTGAAAGAAACGGGGTGCGTTCAATAGAAGCCCTGGTCATTTCCAAATCAAACAGCTTCTCCAGACAGTTCCTAGTTTTTCTCATTAGCTACAGATTCTGAAATGCTTCCCAAAAGTGGAAAGCACAAAGCCAAACCTGCTTCACTTTATTTCCCTTATTTTATTTCCTTCCTTACTAAATACATGCCAAAGGGCATCTTATGGGTACTCCAATTTCTCTGAAGCACAATTGCTGATGACTGAATGAATGGTCTCCTGGGCAGGTCCTTGACTACAGCTAAATACAGGATGGCTCCATAGTGTAGTCTTTACTCCCATACCCAGAAATCCCCAGTAACATTTGGTCCCAGCTAGAATAAATCCAGGCAGTTCTCTCCCATCAGAACATCTGATGTCTGGACATGCCACTGTCAGCTTTACTGTCAGAGATGGGCAAACTTTTTCCATCAAGGGCCAGAGAGTATAAACTTTAGACTTTGCCAGCCAAATGATCACTGTAGCAACTACTCTACTTGGCTGTTCTAGTATGAAAGTAGTAGTCATACACAATACATAAATGAATAGGTGTAACTATGTTTTAATAAAACTTTATTTATAAAAACAAGCAGTGGGCCAAATTTGGCCTATGGGTTATAATTTGCCAACTTAGAGGATTTTCTTTTTGGGATACAGTCATCAGTTGGGAAATATGGGGATTGTATCAATATCTTAAATTCAGTAAAGATTTTGATAAAGTTTATTATCAGAATTCTATGGAAAACATAAAGGTGGCTTGTAGTATACTCAGAAAAGAAATTTTATGAAGTCAATAAAACCTAGAAGGAGGTTTTTAGTGGAATGTCATAGCACTCTGCTGTTGCCCCATTCCTATCAAACATTCTTATCAAAGACCTGAATGACTAGAATTCAAGTTTATCACAAGGCTGAGAGGAATAGCTAAGAAACTAAATGGAAAACTCAAAAGTCAAAAAGGCCTTAGGCTAGAAGAGGAGTCAAAATCTGTCAGAAGAAATTGGTCTATTAATAATTAATTACTTAAAAGATATGTGAGTTTAACTGATTGTAAACAAAAAGCAAATCTTAGAAAGGCTATTGCAGCTTTGGGCTGAAAAAGTAGAAATGCAGAGTCTCCATCAAAAGGAGTAACAATTTCCTTAGGTTGATACAACTCAATAGACTATGAATAAAATGCTACTTTCAGATATGGGTGCCACATTTTAAAAGAGACATGGACAAACTGGAGTGCAAAGGGAAAGAAATCAAGAAAAAGAGGGGTTTTGACCTCCTATTACATGAGGAATAGAAGAAATCGGGGTGTTTAGCCAGGAGAGTTGCAGGCTTAGAGGAAGCAGGCTAATGGCTAATGGGCTTTCCTACAGAAAGGGGATTAGACCCATTCAGAGTAGCTCTATGTGACTGAAGCTGAAACAATGAATA